AGCCAACGGCCGTTAGCTCGCGGGGCGCCCATGTGCCTAAAGGCCCTCGGGAGCCCGGCGGCGCGCGCGGGTAGGCACTCCGCCCCTCGCCCTCCTCTCATAGGGGGCGCGCGCAGGCGCAGGCAGTCACCTACACCCGCTTACCCTAGCCCCCTCCCCGCACTTCCGCTCCCGCGCTGTCGCCCGCCTGCAGCTGTGGTCCCCAAGTCTGGGCGCAGGCCCGAGCCCAGAGCGGCTGGGACCCCCACTGAAGGTCTTCTGAGGGGCAGGAGAGTCTCTGGGGCATGGCTCTCACCTCTGCTGCAGGTGGGCTGGGAGGCTGCTGTGTCCCAGGGGTCGCAGTGCAGTGCCTCAGGCCCGCCCAGCTGCCCACTCTTGAGAGAGCTTTGACTGCAGGAGATCTCAGGTCCTGCACGTGCTGCTCAGTTCAGAGTATTTTTGGCCATTCTCTCACCAAGAGGTGGTGTCTCCTTGGTGTCCTGGTCCTGCATCCTCCCCAGAGCAAATGGAGTTCCCTCAGCAACTGGAGTCTGCTGCTTTGGGCGCTTCTATGGAGGTTCAGACCTGCTTCATGGCAGATGGTGGTGTGGCAGGCTTCCACTGCAGACGTTTCACCTTGAGATGCTTCTTTTCTCTTTTTGTGTCACTTGGTTTGATCTCTTTGTACTTTCTGTCAAAACGGATGAACGTATTCCAGCTGTTGAAAGTCTTGCTTGTGTGTCATGCTCCATTGGTTTGTGTACCAAAATTATGGCATAGCCATTACTGTTGCGGTTTGGGAATGCAAGACTAGATGTTTCTCTTTTCCCTGTAGCCTCTTCCAGAGCAGCTAATGGAGACCTTATTTACAAGTACTGTCTTGTACTTGTCTCAGTTATGAGGTAGCAGTGAAGGCTTCCCTTTCCCTTGCCCATGAATACTTTGTCCCAATGTGCATTTATGTGTCATTGGTCTTGCTTTTGTCAGCTAACCAGGTATTGCTCTACTTGTCATTGAGCCTGGCATGTATTTGTATGTTTTGTTGCATAAGTGAATGATAACACCTTTCGTACGACCAACATGGAAGTATCTTCCATCCATCGAATGTGTATATGCTTCAGTGTTGTGGTAAGGTGCACATGTCAGGTTTGAAGTATTCTTGGGAAAGAAGAAGTGCAAGGAAGGTGCTGTGGTCATTTAAATTTTGGGTGTGGGCTGTAGATTGTCCATTTCTTTTTCTGAATACATTTCTATGGCATTGCTGTTCTAGTATCTTTGTGTAGTAGGGGAAGACATTATGGGTTTTTTGGTCAGTCTGTTTTTTTTGAGCTGTCCAGAAAAAGAACATAAGGAATGGTGTGATAATCTGCATGAATCGGAAAAGAGAGTTGGGGAACATGGAGACCCCCGTCTGTTCTGATGCCATATCTTTCTGCCTTTTTTGGGATGTTTGGCAAACTGATCATTGTGTAATTAGTTGTTCTCATAGATAACTGTAGGGATGGTTATACCTAGCTGTTTCTTAGTGCTAGGTAAAATCAAACTATTTTACAGTATTAATCAGAAGGCTTTTGAATTGTAATGGTGGCATTTCTTCTTTGGGGAAGAAAATTTCTGTCTTGGGTAACTATCTTTGGTAAAGGAAATTCTGGAGTCGTGAGGTTCCTATGTGTGTTGTAAATTCTGGATCATCTGGGTCTACTTGGCACCTGGATGATGTTCTGGCAAGAGCCAGTATTTTAGTTACAGGCACTTTCTTGTCTGGTGCTGCCCAATGCTTTGTTGTATTTTCACTTGAAGACTTATCTGAAAACTTTGGGATTCCCTGGTCTTCATTTTGGTCTCTGATTTCTCACTCTGGGAGCTTTGTGTGTCATGAAAGAGTTAAAGTGAAATTGAGTTTGTGATTGGGCATTTGGCAGGTGTACTACTTCAACAGCCCTTCCTCTCCATCCTTGCTCATGATTTTTGTTTGCTGCACTACCCTCTCCAATATGCTGCTTTTCTATGGTTTTAGGTTAACTACATTGAGAACCGGACTTATTGAAGAGAACACAACAGTTCTATAAACAAAATGGAATAAGTCATGTAGAGGTGAGAAAGGCAGCTCCAAATGGCTTGGAATTAATTAAATTGGCAGTTGGAAGAACTGGGCATTGAATGTGAAGCAGTCCTGGAGCTGGAAGAAGCTACTACAAGGTGGTCACTGATGACTAGTTAATAATATATCCTGTTTCTGCAATATGCCAGTGCTGGGATTCTGTGTGACTCTGTTCTTAACCCAAGGGAATAGCTGAGGAGCAGTATGGAGAGCTGATGCTGAACTCCCTCTTCATGTATTATAGTTGCTTCAGTGTTTTGCTATCAGTTATCCCATTGCTCCAAGATTCTCAGAGGAAATAATTATGGAACAAAAGGAAAGCATCTAACTATTTAAATATACAGATGACACTTGCTGAGTTTGCAACAAATGACAAATATTTCATTTGTTTCAGTATGTAAATTAAAACATATAAAATTCTTGAGACAAAAATGATAGTTAGAAATGTAAATTAAATTCCTGTGGAACTGCCTTACTCCTGCAATGCAGTGTTTGGCAACAAATTTACGCAGCTTTTGTCTGCAAAGAATTGTTTCTATCCATGAAAAATTCTTAACACTGAGTCCTATAGCTGATACAGCTACATTCAGCTTAGCACTGGTAGAAACACTGATATTCATAGTCCTGTGTTTTTCAGCTATGTTGATTAAATCAGTTATTTGGCAGGTGTAAATGACATTGTGAAAAGTTGCAGAGGCACATTTGCCTGAAGTGCCCTTAGGCAGAAAGGGCAATCTTATTTGGCAAGACTTTCAGTATAGAATATTTTAATTTGGACAGCAGTTTTATGTAGAACATGCAATTTTAAGTTTGGTAGTATGATTATTATTTACAGATAAAATATTTAGAATTTGTAGCTACTGGCCCACCTGTAACTTTTTGAATGTGTTAAAAAACTTTGTAAGTGGAAGATTCTATCACCTGTTCAAAATTTTGATCACATTTCCTGAGAGGAGGCCTTCTGTAAAGTAATTATGTTGGATCTTGCTGGAAGTATATAACCCCTATTGTTGAGAATTGGGAGGGTAAGTACTCTGCATCAATGACTATTAAATTTGAATGCTTCCCCCTCCTCCTCCTTTCTTTAGAGGCTCATTTGTTTATGAGACTAACACCATGTTTCCAATCTATTGCCTGTAAAGCATCCTTAAGTATGGAGAACTTCATTCTGTATGAGGAGATTGGAAGAGGAAATAAGACAGTTGTTTATAAAGGAAGAAAAAAGGGGACAATTAATTTTGTTGCCATTCTTTGCACTGATAAATGCAAAAGAGCTGAAATAACAAACTGGGTAAGTAATTTTTTTCCTGCTAAATCTGGGAAAAGATACAGCTTACAAAATCCTTGTAGCACAAGGTAATATAGAAGAAAAATACCATGTGCTTCTTTACATGGAGTTCGTCACCATTTAGATCAGCTTCTTAACATTTTAAGTTCTTATACTTTAAATGGAGTCTTATTTTAATGTATTTATTTCTTCATCTGATTTTTATTGTTGTTTAAATCACATCCATGAACCCATGTTTACAGGCTTACTGTTTCTATGATGTGTCAGAGAACTTGTAAAAACAGTTACTTGCATGTAGTGGTTTGCTTTATTCTGTTATTAGTTATGCAAATCCAGGGGTAGTAGTATCTTCCAGTAAATAATCAATTTCTCACTTACCAAGAAGAAATTATTTTTGATGAAAGAATAGCATTTAAGGTGAATCAATTTTGGTTTGTAAAACCTTGGCAAAGTTTTAAACATATAGTACTTTCCAGAAACGAAACTGTAACTGATGAAGTTAGATGTTTCAAATATTTTATTTTTCCAGTAGATAAATTTTTGTTTGTGTAGTGGGTTGACCTTGACAGGATGCCAGGTGCCCACCAAGCTGCTCTCCCTTCCTCAGCTGGATCGGTGAGAGAAAATATAATGAAAGGCTCATGGGTCAAGATAAGGACAGGGAGGTCACCCAGCAATTACTGTAATGGGCAAAACAGACTAGACTTGGGGGAAGTAATTTAATTTATTGCCAAACAAATCAGAGAAGCGTAATAAGAAATAAAACCAAATCTTAAAACACTTTCCCCCACCCCTCCCTTCTTCCCATACTCACCTTCACTCCAAATTTTCTCTATCTCTTCCCCCTGAACAGCACAGGAGAATGGGGGTTGTGGTCAGCTGATCACATGTTGTCTCTGCTGCTCCTTCCTCCTCATGCTCTTCCTCATGCTCCAAATCCCCCTCCTATGGGAGACAGTCTTCCATAAAGTTCTCCAGCATGGTCCTTCCTGCAGGCTGCAGTTCTTCCCAAACTGCTCCAGCCTGGGTCCTTTCTACATGTCTTCTCCATGGGGTGCAGTCCTTGAGGAACAGACTGCTCCAGTGTGGGTCCCTCACGGGGTCACAAGTCCTACCAGCAAACCTGCTCCCGTCACAGGCTCCTTTGGGCACGTCCACCTGCTCTGGCGTGGGGTCCTGCATGGGCTGCAGGTGGAGATCTGCTCTACCGTGGAGCTCCAAGGGCTGCAGGGGGACAGCCTGCCTCACCACGGTCTTCACTATGGGCTGCAGGGGAATGTCTGCTCCAGTGCCTGGAGCATGTCCTCCCCCTCCTTCTTCATTGACCTTGGTGTTTGCAGAGTTGTTCCTCTCGCATATTCTCAGTCCTCTCTCCGACTGTTCTTGCGTAGCAGTTTCCCCCCGGCTTAACTTCATTATCCCAGAGGCGCTACCTTATTGGCTCGCTGATCTAGAGTGAAGTTATATTGTCTCTACCCCACCTCTGCCTTAAGTCCATATAGATTGCCTTTTTTTTTCCCCCAGTTAAGTTTGTTAAAACCTTTCTTCTAGGTTCGTCTGACTCATGAAATCAGACACAAGAATATAGTGACTTTTCATGCATGGTATGAAACAAGCAACCATCTCTGGCTTGTAGTGGAATTATGCACAGGTAAGATAAGCCTAAAAGGTAAAAATTTATAAAGTGAGTATTTGTAAGAGATTTCTTATTTTTTATATTTGTTTCTCCACAACAAATACCTGGATCTTTGAAAAAGCTTAGTAATTATCTGATTATTAATATATATAAAAGTGTTTTTGCTTTTGGAAACATTTTTACAAATGAATTGAAATCCTGTTTCTCTGCTTCACTTTATATTTGTGTTCAATGTCAATTGATGTGATATAATGTTGGTTTTTAATAGCTGAAGAGATAGGGCTAAAACAAACTGTGAGCAGTTGACGTGTAGTTAGGTAAAAATTACTTGAGAAAAGTCTTCTAAGGACTGGCAGCTTTGGCATTCTTTTTTCATTTTATAGCACACAATAATAAAGAGAGCAAGGAGCAAATCAAATTATAATGTACAAATGACTTAATATTGCTCAAATGGATGTTTTAATCAAGGAGCAATTCTGTAGTTAATAGTAAACTATTTACATTTTCTTCCTGTTCAGTAGACGTATTTTGACTTCTGTGTTAAGACATTAATTTGGGAGCTCTGAGAACCCAAAACTGCATTAAGTGATTCACTGAGTTTTGGTAGGTTCTCATCAATCCATTAAAGATATCTTTTAAAGCTTTCTCTAATTGTTTGTGATGACTGCATGTTTTAAACTCTGGATAATGTGCTTTACTCCACATGGAAAGAAAAGGCCAATTGTGCAAGCGATGCATGTTAAGATTTTCATATCTGGAGTTTGTTTCATAGTAAAAGTCCATATTACAGCCTTTTTTCCTGTCCAGAATTCTGTTTCAAAAATTTCTGAAGAAGAGAAGCTACAAGTTCTGGAAAAAAAAATCAGGTCATTCTTTCAATGATTAAAAGTGAAGTTAATGGCTCATGTGGAGACTTTGGTTTATTCGCTTAGTCTAACTTACGGGCACATACTTAGGTTGTTAGACAGGCAGCCTTTTAATAAGCACAGTTTGAACAATTAGCATGTATTTTTACCTTGCAGTATTGCAATTGGCTGCCAGGAGAGTGTCTTGAAGCTGATTTATAAATAGAAAAAGACATGAATTTCTTATTAATTTTGTAGAGCCTTGAAAACTGCTTTTGAAATGTGGAAGGTCTTTCTCACTTGTCTCAAGGTGGCAAAGTGAGTTTCCATTAGCAGATGCAGCATACTTCTGTGTTGCTAGTTTCACTTTTTTTTCTTTGTGTATTTGGTCATATTATGGAATTATTCAATATGTAGTCCTCTAAATTACATTATAAAAAAAAAGTAAACATGATGGAAAATTCTTTACTGTAGCTATGTAATATGGCTTTAAAGGAATGACTGATTTACTAAACAGCATAAAAAAGGCTTAGGAGGAAAATAATTTTAAGATTACCTAGTGTTGAATAATTTGAAGAATACTGTGATTACAGACCTTTTAGTCTTGCTATTCTCTGAAAGAAATTACTTAGCAAAGGGAAAAAGCTCAGGAAAATCTATTATGTGATTTGGAATAAAAGATCTAGTATCCTTTTCTATGAAAAGCTCTCCTAATCCCTGTTTTCATTCAGGGACTTTAATTTGTGTATTTGTGGGTTTTTTTTTAATCTGCATGATTTGGCTAAGATATAAATAATAGATAACCCAGGAAACCCATAGATAATTCGTGAAATACAAAGTGTAGTCTCAGGGCAACAGGTTTGGTGCAGGAGTAGTAAAGGGTCAAATGAGGTTGAGGAAGGAGGTTTTGAGGGAGATGAGAATGTGGATTTTAGGATAGGAGACTGGGACAGGAAGGAGAAAGACTGTTTGAGCAAGGAGTTTGTGGGAAATGAGATTAGAAGTCCAAATCCTATGAACAGTTAGGACAGGAATGGCTCAAATGGGATGAGTCTGGTGACATATCTGAGAATTAGTGGGATGTGAGGAAGTAGGTGATGCGGGAAGATGAGAGATTTTTGCAAGGTCAGAGAAACAGTAGCAATCAGTGGGGAAAAGCATAGAGAGTGAATGTGAAGCCCAGGGAAGGACACAGAGGATGTATGTGAGGGGTATTTAGAAGGCTTTGTAGGTATAATCTGATCAGAAATAGAGGGAAGGCTGGTTGGAAGGAGAGTGGTGATTTTGGAAGGACAGAGAAGGGTCTCATGTTAGGATGAGAAGTTCGGAGACATACAAGTAGGACTTGCTGGGCCAGGAAGCTGGGATTTGTGTGAGAAACCTGGAAAGTGAAAGTTTGGTTTTGAATTTTTTTTTCTTAAAAAAAAAAGGGGGGGGGGAAGAGATAGAGAAAACGCTGAAAATTAAAGAACTGGGGCACATGAGTCAAGAAAAGGACTGTACAGAAATACTATGTGTGAAGAACAAACAAAAGAATTTATCTGTTGGATGTTGTTGACCTCAAGACCTGAGAATGTAACTCAGTTTTACTATTTCTGTTATCTGAATTCAGTGGGAAATTGCCAGTCATTAGCTTTAGCACTTGTTCACAGATGTTGATAGCTGTTGTTCATAGATGTTGATTATTTATTCTTTTAACTCATGCAGCAGGAA